GTTAAACCTGCAGGGCCCCTATGTGCCTTGAACCCTGTCTCTCAGTTGAAACCACTAGACTCCTGACTGCTTGACACAACAGAACTGCGAGAAGGTAAACGGATCCCCTAAGTTCAAGGACGAAACAGGGAGGAGCTATGTGACCTGGGTCAGGTACCCACCCTCTCTGTGCCTAAGGATGGGAGCAGGCCATAGAATCTCAGGGAGCTTGCACTTGCTGTTCCCACCACCTGTTCTCTGCTCTCCTCCCATGACCAGTGCCTTTTTGTCCTTCCAGAGCTGGTTTGACTGTGTCCTCTCATTGAGGCTTCCCCTGCCCCCCCACCCCCACCCCAAAAGGTCCCTCGGTGTCCTGGGCTTACTGTGGAATGGGCAGCTCATTTGCCTGGGTCCTCATGGCAGCCTTGCTCCTTGTTCCACCTCATGGCCTCCATGAGGGGCTTTACTGGTTTCTTAAAACCAATGAAGAAGTTCCAAGTCCCCAGAACTACCTCTTCCTGGTCTCCTGGCTTCACCCTGGCCCTCAGTGTTCCAGAGCCCACTGTCGCTTCCCATCTCAGTCAGGGCCTGCACCAACCCACTTCCTGCCACCTTCACTCTGCTCCCATCACCAATCTGCGGAGCCTCTGCATGGGCTGTTCCTCCATCTGAACTCTCCAAGACAGCCGGCTCCCTTGCCTCCCTCAAGCCCTTCTCACACATCACCTTGCCTGCTCTGACCTCTACTTTCTCCTCCAAAAGCACCTGGATGGGTTGTGGCCCCTGTTCCTCTGTCTGAAGCCAGCCCTCTCTTCCTGCTGTGGCAGGAGGCCTCTCCCATTGAGTGACAGCAGGCCTTCCCCCGACCCCCCCTCCCCTGGCTAAGCAGCCAGCCCTTGTCCACAGGGGGGTGGCAGAGGACCCCGGGGCACATGGTGAGCCATTGGAGACACTTACTGCCAATGCCAGGAGGTGCCTGGCACCAAGGTCCAATTGGCGGGTGGGAAGGACAGCTGCTGTCACACCTCCTGGAGGTGGTGGTGGGCTCAGTGCAGGCATCAAGGAGGAATGACTTGGAGGTGTGTGCAGGCAAGGGTGACACCGAAAAGCAACAGACACACCTCCCACCGCTGTATCTATGTCCCAGAAACCGGCTCTTGGCCCCAGGCTAAATCACACCTGGGCGAGGGAGGCTCCCCCGATGGCCACCAGGAGCCAACTGCAGGGGAAGAAGGTCACTGCCACATTTGAGGATCCTGCATTGTCTGCTGACAGACCATCAGGACAGGAAGACTGAGGCCCCTTACTTTTGGTTTCCCTTACTGAGGGTTTGAGGCTGGTTTCTTCAAACCAGTAAAAGGAAGAAGACAAACAGAGCTGTCCCAGCAGCCAGCTCCAGACAGGGCATTCAGGAAGCCCAGACACTGAGTGCAGGGCTAGGGCAGTGGCTTATGTCTGGGTGAGATGACAGGGCAGCTAGCCAGGCTGCCCTTTGGAAAGGTCAGGGCCAGCTGGCTGGGGCTAAGGGCAGTGTGCTGACCAGACAGGCTCACATCCCTGAACTTCAGGATACAAGGTGCTGGGAACCTCCGGGCACTCTTGGTCCAAATCAGTTAAATGGCCAGGAGCAGGCCCCCAAAAGACTCCCCATCACAGCCCGTGGGACACTTGATCCCAGAGCCCCCATTTCATCAAAGCCCCACCAGACAGAACACCTGTGTCACGAGCCTGTTCCCAACCCCGCGGACCAGGAACCCAGAGGCCTTCTGTAGAGAGACATGATGCTAGGAGAGGTGGGAGTGGGAGCCAGCAGGTACCGACAGGGCCCAGCCTTGCCACCAACACTCCGCTGTTTTGCAAGAACCATTCACACCAGAGTTCGCCCAAACAGGGTAGGCGACTGCCTCAAGTAATGTTTGGGTTTTCTTAAGCTTCTCCCCTCTCCTCCAAGGCACCACCATCCACAATGCGTGAAACTCTTGCCTTTCATAAGAAAATGTAGGACACGGTAAAAGTCCTGTTGAAAGTGCTTACCCCGGCGAGATGTGCTGCAGCCCTAGGAAGGAAACTTCTTACAGGGCTGTGACTTACCGAGGGTACCACATGCTCTCCTGTGCCCAGTGGTTCAAAAGAAACTTCGGACTGGTGGTTGGTAGTTGTTTTGTTTTTATTTTTGTAACACAAAAGAGGGAGAAAGGCAAAGGAACAGGGCCCCACCAAGGCCCCACAACAGCATCTGAGGCACTGTCTGTGCGGATTTGTTCTGAGAAAAGTGTCAGGTCTGTCTCAGGAAAACGCCCTGGACTGTCAATCTCAGTGCAAAGACCTTAAAATGAAACTTCCCATCTGTTTGCCACACAGGATCCAACAAGAGGGACAAAACAAACCTATTTGGAAAATGCCCCCGATAACACAAGGGGGAAGGCTCTACAGATGCATTCACACACACAGCCTTCCAGGAATCAAGTTGGCTGCGACTTCACAAAATCAAAACCACCGAAGAATATTTTCAACTGTAGAAACGCTGGCTTAGAAAAAGGACTCAATGCCTGGCGGTGTGGCTTGGCTGATGGGAGCACTGTCCGTACACCAAAAGGCTGCAGTTTCAATTCCCAGTCAGGGCACATGTCCAGGTTGTGGGTTCCATCCCCAGTCAGGGTACATGCCAGAGGCAGTAGATTGATGTTTTTCTCACATCCATGTTTCTCTCTCTCTCTCCCTTCTTCTATCAAAAATCAATTAAAAAAAAAAAAAAGAACACAAAGAGGACCACAAAATGCACAGGTGGGGTCCCCCCGACACCTGCCTCTTTTTTTCTGTTCTGAACAGACTCCTGGACGGGGGCAGGCATGCGGCCTGTGGGGGAGGCTTAAGTCTCTGGGTAACGCAGGGCCAGCTCACTGTTTACCCGCCTGCCTGCCGGGCTTCTTTTCTGGCTGACCTCTGCCAGTGCCTGGGATCCCGCCTCTGCCACGGCCGCCAAACACACCTGCAGGACAGAAGCGGGGGCTGCATGGGAGCCAGGCTCCAGGGTATTCTCACCCCGAGTCTCCCGTGGCTCCCTATGTAAAGTGGGGAAAAGCAGGCTGAAAACCTGGGGTGGAGTGACTAGAGCTGGGTATGGGTGGTCCTCGAGAATGTCCTGTGTGACAGAAGAGACCAGATCCCCCAGGTGCAAAGGGTATGAGGAAGGAGAGAGGAGGACCACAAGTCCCATCGAGGCTTGGGTCAGGCTTCCTGGGAGAGGGACGGGGCTGGGGTGGGGGCTTCGGCTATGGAGTAAGTGGAGCAGGAGCCAGGACAGGGGCAGGACTCTGGCCAGGGGTGGAGCAGAGACCCCCCCCAACTCTGAGGCTAAGGTGTACACGGGGGACCCAGGACCTCCCGCACACTAACACCATCCTGTAGGTCCAGCGACCAATGCTGGCACGGGTTGCCCCATCTCACCTCTCATGATACCCCCCAGTGCACAGAGCCTGGCCTTAGGTATCAGACATGCCCTACGAATTCAGGGCCCACTAACCCCCCGTTTCTGTCAACCCTCCACCTGGAGTGCCCTGTCACCCGAGTCTGGCTGAGAGCTGGCTCCAGGCCTGGCATTCAAAAGGTCCATACATAAGAAGAGAAGAGGGCAGACCACTCCAAGAACAGGCACCCACCCTGGAAGGTGGGGCTTACAGAAGGCCTCTAGGCTCAGGCCCCAGCTGACTGCACAACAAATTTAATTGTATGCCAGGGTTGTCATGTCGAGGCAGTGAGGGGAGTCTATAAAAAAGGTGTGACCTTGGCATCAAGGAGTCAGGGCAGGGAAGGGTTCTGTGCCAGGCCCTGAGTTGGGGTCCTTGCCCGCAGCCTGAGCAGGTGGGCACCACCAGATCCTCTCTATAGAGGGGAAACTGAGACTCAGGGAGGTGCCATGCCATGCCCAGAGATGAGAAATTAATGCCCAGGTCTGCATGGCACCAGATCAATCCACTGAGCACCAAGGACTCAGCTGGGACCCCGGGTTGGGGTCTGGGATAGATGGCAGTCAGCAGCAATAGCCACTCCACAGAGGAGCCCTGTGAGTCAGAGCCCCGCTGGCTCTGCTGCGGGGGGCGGGGGTGGAGGGGGAGGTGGAGTTAAGGGGAGAGGCTCAGAGCCAGGCCTGCTGCACTGTGAGAGCACCAGCCAAGAATGTCAACACTGGGCTGAAATAGATGCCACGTGCTGCAGCCACTGTGTGTGTGTGTGTGTGTGTGTGTGTGTGTGTGTGTGTGTGTGTGTAGGACCTACCTCGTCCAGCACCCCCCATGCCACGGCCTTTCTGCTGCTTCTGCTGCTGCAGGCCCCCACGGCCACGACCCTTGGCCACCACCTCTTCTTTGACCATGTCAATGATCTCATCGGGGATGCGCAGGTACTTGATGGTGCTGCCGCGGATGTAGCACTCGGGCATCCGCCAGAACTTGTCCCCATCCTGCACAACGGGTGGGGATCTCAGATCCATGCGGGTCTCTTCAGAGTGGGTACAGACAGCTGGGTACCACCTGTATCTCTGGCATCACCCCTGTAGGCTGCCAAGTTCACAGTCCCAGATATGACACGAGGCCTCTCTAAAGGGGGTCTTAACAGATCCTCAGCACCCCTGGCACAAGAGGAAGAGCAGCAGAGCTACATAGGAGATGGTGTCAATCTGCCCTCCAGTGTGGGATGGGGTTTGTTACCTGCAGCCCAAAGCCCAGGGTAGGGGGCTGCCCCACGCACCAGGTGCTGCCACAACCCACCTCCTGTCTGCACCTGTCCCCAGCCTTCTCGAACACACCTTCTGGAGCCTTTTCTAGGGAGGTGCCATGCCATGCCCAGACACAGGTAGGTATGGAGACGAGGGCTTAAAGCCCATGTCTGTGTGGGCACCGGATCAATCTGCTGGGCTGGACTAGAGCTGACTCATTCATTCATCCAACTATCTCCTGGCAGAGGCTGAGCTTGGTGTGGGACACAGGCCAGCAGGAAGAGATCCTATGTGACAGGTGAAGAGGTCCAGGAGGGGAATGGGGAGGCAGGTTTGGTGCTCGCCAGGGTTAGCTCCCTAAGATGCCAATTTTCAGGGGAGCTAATTGAGTCTGGAGAGATAGGGGGCTTGCAAAGTAAAAACCCTGTGGTTCCACCCTAGCCGGCTTGGCTCAGCGGACAGAGCATCGGCCTGCGGACTGAAGGGTCCCAGGTTTGATTCTGGCCAAGGGCATATGCCTGGGTTGCGGGCTCAGTGTGGGGTGTGCAGGAGGCAGCCAATCAATGATTCTCTCTCATCATTGATGTTTCTATCTCTCTCCTTCTCCCTTCCTCTCTGAAATCAATAAAGAAATATATATTTTTTTAAAAACCCTGTGGTTCCTAGGATACAGACTACCCCTCCCCGCAACCCCGTATCCTGGAACCAGCACAAGGCCTTTCCCTGAAGTCCCCTCCTGCTGCCCTTGGGTAGGAGCCTAGGGCCTCATGTTAGTTTCCCAGCCCCACCCCTACTGCCTAGAGCCAGAAGCCCGGGTAGCCTTTTCCTCTCCCCACACCCTTAGAAATCAGACCAAGACCTCTCCCTGCTCAGAACCCGCCAGGGTCCCTTGGCCAAGGACCAGGCCCAAACACAGCATGGCTCCTGAGCGCCTAAGATCCAGCCCCACCCTGGCTGCCCTCTCTGGGTACTGAACACACAAGGAGGGCTTTCCTGCCTCTAGGACTCTGCACACACCGTCCCCGCCTTTCCTTGTCCAGCTAATTCTGGTGCTTGACAGGGCTTGCCTTCCAGGCTCCCTGAAATCCCAGTCCTCTCACTTGACACTCACCAGCAGTCTGGTCTGGCCCAGCATAAGCACTCGGAGGGTCAGACGGAATATTCGAGGGCTAACTCTTCCCAGGAACGTACATGAGCTCCCATCCCACACAGGAACCCCACGAGGCCCTGCACATTCCTTTCCCAGAAAGAGTGGGCAAGGGGCCAAGTCCATGGGGATGCAAAGTACAGCCAGATAGAAACAGAAGGATTCCATGGAAGCTGGGGGCCAGGGCTGGGGCTGGCTGCTCCTTGATTGGCTCTCCCTCAGCCAAGGACAGGCCAGGCTCAGTACGTTCCCTGCAGGAACCTCACTCTGCTTTCCATGGCAGTAGTTTAGCGCCCGCCAACCAGGGCTCCCCTGGGACCTTAGCCCCTGGGGTCTCTGGACTCTGCCACCCACTGCCCAAGGGATTTCAAACCTCATCCCAGCCTCTCCTCCCAACCACCAGGTCACAGAGGAACTCCCAGAGGAGCCATGTTTCTAGGCTTAGTTGACTCTGGAGGCTGGACCAAACTTTCCCCGAACCCTGTAGTTGGTTCTACAAGTCGACACAGACCTACTGGCCATGTGCAGAAAGACACACGCATGCCAGGCCGTGCACTGCAGCACTGTCTGCTAGGACCATAATGGAGCTGCCCTACACCTGCTGCCTGGCATGTGGCAAGAAAACCAGGAGAGAGCTTCTAGCTGGTATGGAAGCTCCAGCGTCCCATTCCAGGAAACAGGTCATGGAGCTGTGTAGGTGAAGGAAGGGGCCATGCCCACTAGTCTGCCCGCTGGAGTGTGAACCACGCAGAAGGATGGACCGGGGGTAGGGGGCTGCCTTATGCTGTGCTGTACTCTGGCATGGCAAACCCTAGGGGCATGTGCCCTCCGGCTCAAGACAGCTCCAACCTGGCTAAGGCCCCCAGCAGCTTCTTCCTTTGTAACCTGGGGGGCCATTGGGGGCATGGGGACCAAGACTGGAATCCAGGCAGAAGGCTAGGGCCCATGCACACCAGTGGGAGAGCGCCTGCCTCCACCGCCGTCCTTGTCCTCATGGCTCTGGGGTCTTCCCAGCTTGTGACCCCAGGGGCACTTCCCAGCCCTGGGAGCTCAGGTTCTGGCCATGCAGTTCCTGGCTTCAGGCCTGGGGAGGTAAGCGAGCCTCTGGGGCCGCAGGGCTGTCCCTGCCCCCAGATACCCCATCGCCACACCACCATGGCCTGCAGCCTGGAACCGCAGCAGCCAAGGCTGCCAGGAGGGTAGGGTCTGCTGCCCGTAGACTTGTCTCCAGAAGCAGCCCCTCAGGCCTGAGTCTTCCTTTGTCAGGGGTGGAAGCAGGGGCAGGAGGAGAGGGACAGCAGGTCAGTACCTGATCAGGAAACACCCCCACAGGTGCAAAGTCCTCACAGGTGCAGAGTCCAGGACACTGGGGGCCCTGCTCCTCCCCAAGGCCCCCCCTTGGTAGGATGACTGTGGTAGGCTGAGGAAGCCCCCCCACTCCTCCCAACAGGTGCAGGGAAGGGCCCTCACTTCATGGGGAAGCCAGAATGTTGAAGCTCTGTCAGCCTCCGGTCCACGCGAGCTGCTGGCCACACTGCCTCTCCTCTCCCTGCCTGCCCGCCCCACCCCACAGCCCCGGTGTCAGGCGGACTCCAGCCCCAGGGCACTCACCCGGGACGTGCAGATCACCTCGCGCAGGTTGATGTTCATCCAGTTGTCACAGCTCACCAGGTGCCCGTTGTACGTCTCCCCGTTTTTCAGCTCCACCAACTGGAGAGAAATGGGTCCCACGTCAGCCAGGGCCCCAGGGAGGTGCAGCCTGCCAGTAAGAGCAGCCCCAACCTCGTTCCGGTATGTCCTCAGCTCCTTTAGTACCCAGGCCCCTGCACACAGAGCCCGGGCCCCAGAGAGGCCTATCTTACAGGGAAATGTCCTCTTTCTCTGTACACTTCGCGGGGCACCTCTACAAGGAAACCTTTTGTTTTTGATGAGGAAAAAAAAAGACCCCAAACCCAATAAAATCAATAAAGGTTGTGATTTCAAAACAAACAAACAAAAGAATACTCAGCCCTGGCCCATGTTCTCAGTGGTTAGAGCATCAGCCTGAGCACCTAAGAGTCGAGGGTTCTATTCCCGGTCATATCTGGGTTGCAGGCTCGATCCCCAGCCTCTGGTCAGGGTGCATGCAGGAGGCACCGATCTTTGTGTCTCTCTCACATTGTTGTTTCTCGCCTCTCCTCCCCACAAACTCTCTAAAAACAAACAAACAAAAAACAACCAATGGGAAAAATATCTTCGGGCGAGGATTAACAACAAAAAAACTCAGATATTTGTGAAGGCATACATCCATGTAAAAAGAGCAGCACGAACATTCACAGTAGCCAAATACTCACAAATAGCCAAGAGATAGAAAAAAATCAAATGTACATCAACTGATGAATGGATAAACACATTGTGGTCCATCTACACAATGGAATATTATTCGGCCATAAAATACCACAATATAGAGGAGCCCTGAAAACATGCTGAGTGCAAGAAGCCAAACACACAGGCCACCTGTTATACGACCCCGTTTATCCGAAGTGCCAGGAGAGGCAAATCCAGAGACAGAAAGTGGATTTGTGGTTCTCAGGGATTGGGCCAGAAGCATGGGGAGTAACTGCTAAAGAGCATGGGTCTCCTTTTGGATGACGGAAATGTTCTGGATCCAGAGAGAGGTGGTGGTTGTGCAATATTGTGAGTTTACTAAAGGCCACTGCATTATTCACTGTAAAGGGCTGAGTTTTGTGGTATTTGAATTACATTGAATAAAAAGAACACACATACATCACAGAATTAGTTAACCCGCTGGGAAAATGAATGGAGGGAGCTTCCACTATGAGTCTCTCTTGTGTTTGACTTTTCTTTCTGTTTGACATTTTTAATAAGCACATATTACTTTCGTAAGCAGCAGCAATGACACTGGCCCTGACCTGCGTGGGAAGTAAGAGACAAGCTGCTGTTGTGTGGACAGGTGGGGAAGCAGGTTTGGCCGGAGGCACCTCACCCTTGGCCCAGTGTCCCCATCCCTGTGCTAAGGCTGGTCCCCACTGAAAGTCGCTGTCCCAGATGGTACGTACCATGGGGTGATTCTGAGCCGTCTTCAGCAGTGACAACGGGAGCTGAAATGCAAGCAAAAGTACAAGATCTGTCTGTTTCATCAGCTCCGGGAGCCCCTGGCCTCTGGGGAGGGTCCCACGATAGCACCAGGAGAGCAGGAGCACACATGCCTAACCCCGTACGGGAGAGGCGTTCTCCTCATTCTGCACAACCCCAGAGCACACACCTGCCTCCCAGTTTAGGAAAGAACCCTCTCAAGGCCCCTCTTTCCTCCCAGAGGCAGCTGACACCTAGGCCCAGTGCTGTTTATTTGGGTTTTTTTTATAACTCACACTGTACATTGTCCGCACACCCACCATGCTTATCAGCAGCATCACAGCATACAGGTCCCTCTGCTGCTCAACTGATATTTAAGATGAATACACCCAACTCCAGGTCTCATTCCCAGCACTGCATATGGCTACTGTCACACCCTCTTTACAGATGAGGAAACTGAGGCTCAGAGAACTCTGCCAGCACTAGAGCTAGTAAGAGAGAGAGCTTGGTTGGACTCTGTCTGTCTGAAGCTGGGGGCAGCCCCAACTGGACCAAGAGTGACTCGGCCAAGCACAGTGGGGAGTCCACCGTGATCTGAAGAGGACGCACTGAACTGGGTTTTCAAAGACAGGAGTTCACCAGGTAAGAGGAAGAAACATTGCAGAAAAGCTTGTGGTTATTGCAAGAGATGGCAGATAAAGGATGGAATCTTTTAAAGCTCACCCAGATAAGGTGGGCTTTTAAGATATTTCTTCTTCTGTCATTACTGAATTTCTTTTTAAAAACAAACATGGTGCAACTGGGAAAAAATCAGCTCTTCTCACTCTGGAAACACAAATCAGGACCCATACACTGGAGCCACCTCCGGCTCTCCAGAAAGTGACTCAGGTGTGGTGCTTGGGTCCAGGTCCAATGGCAGCCAATCAGTACGGCCAGAGGAAGGTTCTGGCCTAAGGACCCTGCAGACAGGAAACTGCCTCAGGGAGCAAGAGGTTTTGCTTCATCCTGCCCTGGCCTCACACAACTCATTCCATCTGGGCAGCTGTTTCTCCAGGTGGCAGAATGGAAGGCATCTCCTGTGGAGGTGGAAATGGCCCTCAACCCCCGCGGGGTGGCTCTCCATGGAAGGGCTTGGGTTGGGGGCCAATCCAGTATCTCAGAGGCCTTCCCCAGAAGAGTCACCAGGGAGGTCCAGCGACAACAGGAAGCCAGGCCCCAGCCCACTTCCTGCACTGGCTTCCTGGACTGGCAAGATAAGAACGAGCCACGTGGAGGAGGCGGCTGCTCCAGGGAGGATGGGCAGGTTGGGGACACCCCTCTCATTTGGGTGCATCAGTGTGATGCTGCACCGGGCATGAAGGAAACTCCCAGGAGGACCAGAATGGCACTTGGGGCCATGCGCCCAGACTGCCTTTACTATGGAGAAGCGGTGGGCTTTCCTGGGCAAGAGGGAATCTGAACCAAGGTGATGTGACACCGGGTTCTGCTCCCAGATCACTGGAAAGGGGACGGGGTCCGGCCAGACCTGGAAGGTGAGAATGAAAAATGGACTCAGTTGCCAAGCAGTAGAGGGAGGGTCAGAGGAAGGAGTAGCCCAGGGACACAGAGCAAGGTCATAAGCCAGTGAGAGCAGACGGGTGCCTGTAGGCAAGGGACCCACACATGTATTTTACGACATATACAGCCCCTAGGCCAGTGATGGCGAACCTTTTGAGCTCGGCGTGTCAGCATTTTGAAAAACCCTAACAACTCTGGTGCCGTGTCACATATAGAAATGTTTTGATATTTGCAACCATAGTAAAACAAAGATTTCTATTTCTGATATTTATTTTATATATTTAAATGCCATTTAACAAAGAAAAATCAACCAAAAAGATGAGTTCACGTGTCACCTCTGACACGCATGTCATAGGTTCGCCATCACTGGCCTAGGCTGATGATGGCCCCTCTCAGGTCACCACGTTGTCCAGCTGCTGGCAGCACCGTTCTGGAGGACACACATCCTCCACAGCGGTCACTGGCTGTGCCCTATCCACAGAGGAGCCGAGGATGCCTGAAACACATACGGGACCAGCACTTGCTCCCGGCCCTCCCCCGACTTCCCTCTCACTCACCCCCGAGGCAGGCCAGACCTGACAAGGCTCCAGCAAACAGGCCCACTCTGCTCCTCAGCCATGCAGGTTCCTATTGCTCAACCTTTGTTCCTGCCATTCCCTCTGCCCGGGGTGCCTTTCCCCAGGCTGGTTGCCGCTCAAACATCACCTCCCTCTGCCAGGACCTCATAATAACCCCATTTAGGAAACGAGGTTTCCACCTGGGCCACCCTGGGCTGTTTCCATGATAGCACTCAGCCAGTCTCTAATTATCTTGTTTACTTGTCTCCCTGGCTAGACTTGAAACACCACGCCTCTTGCTGGACTGGAAAACTCAGAAGGTGTGGGCTTCGTCCAATGCCAAGCACGGGGCCGGGCACACCAGGTGGACTAAGAAAATATTTGCTGAATAAATACAAGGGAAATACACATACTGCCCAGGCAGGCACATTCGGCCCGCCCCACCCCTCAAATAAGGAGCTCAAGGGAGAGGTGGCATCCAGACAGCCCTCCCCGGCTGCAACCAACGACGAGGAGCAGTGGCCAGGTCTTGCCATCTCCATCCTCATGCCCAAACTGTGCTGGAGACGGGGGGCGGGGGGTGGTGGTGGTGGTGCTGCTGGAGAACTTAAAACTCAACGGGAAAGAGGAAGATGCGTGAAGGTGTCAAAAGAAGTGGGAGAGGGCCGAGCACTCAGCTCTGGGGGAGACTGGAATTGCGAAAGTCAGAAAAGCGCAAGGAAAGAGGGTTCCTTTCTCTGGGCTTTCTCACAACGTTTGGAGCCTGGTTGTCAGGTCCGGGCCAATCCTGGACCAGACCCAATGGGCTCCTGAGGTTCCCCAGTCCAAAACCCGGCATGGACCACCATCCCCGCGTACACACCCAGCCCTCCGCTTCCAGCCGCCGGGACCACAGGGAACTGGGGAGGTGTTATGCCTCGTCCACTCCTGGACGCTGCCAGTGGAAACGATGGGCCTGCACTTTGCACGGACTCGGTTCTAGACTGAGACTGTGCCAAGCATAAATACAAAGATCTGCCGCCACGGAGCTTAAAAGAGGGATCATGCTGCTCCTCTCCTCCCTCCGGCGGACCCTGCCTTCCGGCGGGGAGGAACCTGGTCCCTTCTCTCAAGTCGCAGCGCGACGCGGGTGCTCCCGGGCCACGCACTCCCCCAGGAAGCCCGGCTCGGAATTCCTCTGCGGGAGCCTCTGTCTCCCTGTCAGGGTCTCAATGTTTCCTTCTGGGAGCTGAGAGCGCGCAGTCGGTCCACTCCTGGCTCAGAATGCCCTCTCCCCCTGTTCTGTGACCCGGGGAGAAGAAAACCCCTTTTCTGGATCTGCTTTCCCCCTCAATACGAGGCACCGGAAGTAGCGCTGC